TGGGGGGGGGGGGGGAGGGGAAGTTATTCTGGTGGTGGCCTATGAATAACATCCAGTGATTTATAGGAAGTATAATCCAATAATACAGTAAAATAAAACAGTGTGTCTGAGATGGGTTTGATTCCAGGAATTATAAAACAAATTATTAAAGAGAGAGAGAAAGGAGGGGAAAAAAAAAAGCCTCAGAGAGGCCAGATCGGAGTAAATTGGGCACAGATGGGCGGTTTCTCTCTCTCCCCTCACCGAGATGCCCCTGCCGCAAGCACGGCTTCAATTAGGCTTTTCAGAAACCAGAGTTTTATTTCCCCAAATTACAGAATTAAAAAAAAATTAAAATTCTTGGAGCGTTTGCGGTTGGGATAAAGGGATCCAAAGCTGCTCTCTAAGTCAGTTGTGCAGATGGCTACCAAACTGTTAAAATGGGCCACCCCACAAAGGTCCCGCCCCAGCCGGAACCCAGGATGGCCCAAACCACTGGTAGTCACCGGCATGCCATGAGGGAATGCTCCAGCCACTGCCTGGCTCCCCCTGCCGCCCTCTCCCCTGGCGTGGGCCCTCCTTGCCCCATGGGTTGAGGTCTACAAGAGGCTTTCTCACACCTCGGGTGCTCCTGACAGGAGGCAGCCAGGAGGTCGGGGGGGCCTCGCCAGCCACACGCCTCTGCGGACAATGGGGAGAGCGGCTCACTCGCAGGAAGACGCCGTTTGATGCCGGAACAGCGGGAGAAGCACTTCATGTGGGAATACTTTGGCTTCTTCTGTCAAAGAAAACAACAGACCCAATCCATCTCCCAGGGTCTTCCCAGTGCTGCCCAGCTGCACAGGCAGCTGAGACCAGCTCCGGCGCGCCTGGTGCTGTCCCTGGGGAACAAGCACAGCTCAGCTGCCCACACCGGGCACCGACCGGGGGGACTCTGCCCGCACCCCAAAAAGTCAGCCTGTCAGAACAGCTCACACAGATCAATTTACGGAAGATCTCTGGCTGTCAGGAGCCAGAGACGCGCAGGAGGACATGTCACATCTGTCATATGGAGACACACGCCAGGGCAGGGACGCCCCTGAGGGACCACGGCCAAGCCACGCCGTGGCAGCAGGAAACAAGTAACAAGAAAAGAGCAGCAGATCTAAACAATTACGTGAGTCCCCAACCTCCTGTGCCGCCTGTTGCCCTACTGAAGGAACTGGGACAGACGGAGCACTACCTACGGCATCAAGCCAAGACCGAGATGGGGCCGGACGGGCGTTCGGTGAAGCCTAAGGAAGAGGGAGGAAAGGTGTTTATTAAAGCATTGGACTGTTCAAGTTTCCTTTTTCTCCGATCTGCGATTAAAGGTTTGTGTTCACGGGCACCAAACTGTGTAAAAGTTCCCCATGTCGAGACTGTTTTGCCGGCAACACC